CTATCCTCTATAACTGTCTTCCCCAGCGATATTATGTTGGGCAAAAAGGGATGCAGCTTTCTTAGGATCGGATTCTTCTATTTATTTTAACTGCTGTTCTGGCAGATCACGAGAAAGCTGCATATTTGACTGATGTTCCATCAGGCCACAAAGACATGCCCAACCCTACCCTCTATGACTATTGTTTCAACAGGCCACCTAGTGATACTATGTTGGGCAAGGGGAGAGGGAACAATATAACCAGACAAATGTCGGGTTTGCGGAAGAAACAAGGCTAATTTGCCAACATACCTTATTGGTACTATATATACTCAGCACAATACAATCGATTACTCCTTTACATGTACTAACTAATTATTCAATCTTTACCTCATATTCTTCCTATACGTTAAATGCTGATAACAAAATTACCTCATACTTACTTAACCATGATCGACCTAACGATCGATCAGACCATTGAACATGTGATCGTTACAGGATGAGTCACATGTTCGAATCCGAGCTAATTCGAGACAAAAACTGTCTCGATACTTATGTATCAAGCAGTTTTATTCTGTAATAATTCGATTAAAATAGGAAAAATATATATGTAGCCACGGCTACATGTAGCTGAATACCACCAATTTATATTACACAATTTACAGCAATATATGTATATATAATATGAAAGTAAATTTTATTAAACTTGTGCATCATAATATTAAGATTATATATTACGGCACAATGGCATCAATGAAACTAAAAAACTATCCTAAACCTATCTAACTATAGCTAATACTAATTAACTCTAGCTATTTAAAAAACTAACAAACTACTCTAACTCTAACGCCTAACTCTAATGAGATTATAGCAGATAAGTATGGTATAGGTGAGCAAATCCATATAGTATAGCCCAAATTTAAGATCTATACTATATTGATTAGCTATAATTCCTAACCCTAACTCTAATATATATTATACAGGATTAGTATAGTATAGATTTAAAAATTCGGCCTATACTATATAGATTTGCTCACCTATACCATACTGATCTGTGAAATACCTAACTCTAAAACAGTTTTATGGCCATGCCAAAGAAAACGTGCCAGTAACAAAGCCAAATCGGTCACAATTGAAGACCAAATATCTAACCTAATGCAAGACTAAAGATAACAAAGAATAATAGCAACAAAATCCAAGACAACAACACCAATTACGGCGACCACGATAATGATATTTCGCAGTTCTAATAACAACAACCAAAGACGATAGTATTTTGTACTCAATAACTATGACACCCACGGTGAAGAATTCACCGTCATAATAGCAACAACAACATGACGAAGATATTCACCACTCCAATAATGAAGTACTAGCAACAAAAAAAACACCTCCAATAATAACGACACGAGGGTATTTTTGTAAAAGAAAGAGAGTATTAGTAATGAGTAAAAAGATTCGTGCAAAGCAAGAAAAAAACAAGCTGAAATGAAAGTATAGATATTTAAACTATTCCAAAACATAACAACACCAGCAAAGTCGAAAACAAATAAGCAATAACATGATACTAGCGAAACAACACTAATATATAATGACAACATCAATAAATAACAACGATAAAACTGCCAACAAAAGTAAGCCAAATTCACAGACAATACCAGCAAAATGGCTACAGCGATCTATTAAAAAGAACATACCATAAACAACGACAAATGATAGTCAAAAGGTGCCAGTACCTAACAACATCCCAACAATGACATCAAGAGGCACCAATATTGACAACACTAGCGATGACCAAAAAATTCTAACGATACCATAACGACGACATCTGAGACGAATCTGAAAAAAATGCCTAAAAAAAAAAATTGTAAGTTTGCGATTAGGCCATACAAATTTAACTACTTGGTTTTCATAACATGTATCTTTTTAACTGACCCGGCCAGCTGGCTTTTTTTTTTAAATTTCATATATAAAATTTTATGAAATTTTATATAAATTTTTTTTTAAAATCCCACCCGGTTATTAAAACATATAAAAAATTTTTTTTGAGGTTTCCAAATTTTGACCCGGCCGGGTTATGAAAACCAATTGATTAATTTTTCATGGCCTTATCATGATCGCTATTTATTTAGTATTAATTTGTGTAACTCTTAATCTAAAATAATTTATACTTAAATGCGTTAAATAAGTTTATCGCATCGATATTTATTTTTTTTTAAAAAATAATGATTGACAAAATTAGCCAATCATATTAGCAAGCGATATATAAGCATATTGCGGGGTGCGAGATATGCATTTATTCTTTTAATAATATTATAAAAGATAAAATTTTGATTGTTAATAGTCCTATCTAATTATATAATTTACTGCACTTCCCTTAGTATTATTAATTTAAGTGCTTATTAGTAAAAAAAAAAATAAAATAATATTTGTGTTAGTATATTTTGGTTAATAAATATTCTATTTAATGATTTGTAATAGTTTTTCGAGTTTACTAAAACACACCACTGGTGTCAACACCACAATGATTTTTACCAATCATATTTTTTAAATGCAATGTAATGTAAAGATCTTGTATAACATAAATTTTTTACCATTTTGCTATTTTTTTTCAAAAATACCTTCTAACTCAAAATTTTATCTATGAAACTACCTTTTTTTTTAAAAAAAAATTTTCCTTGTGAAATTTCACTATATACTATGCCTTACCCTAACCCCTAACTATTAACTCTCACTTGACATTTATTAAATTCAATTTTTGTTTATTTTTTTGTTTATTTTTTTATATTGATCTTCATGTTACACCACATACTGGTGTTGAACACCAGTGGTGCATTTTAGTAAACTTGTAGTTTTTTTATTTTAAATTTTTATAATCACTTTATAAAAATTTTAATATAATTGTGACTATATAGAGGTTTAAAGTTATAATCACATTTAAATATAATTACCATATTGATGTGTAACCAACTTGGTGATTATAGAGGTGTTTGACTGTATTGTGCTTATATCATTACTTTGAATATATATTTTGCCAAATTCTTTTTTTTTTGAACTTGGCTAACAAATTTTTTTTTTTGGGTTAAATTCACTATTGGAATCATTGTTGTTATTGTAGTTGGAGCTATTGTTAGAGCTATACCATCGTTGGTACTAAAGGTTTAACTCAATAAATAATATATTTGAATATTCATTGAATATTCGAATATTCAAATATATAATTTTTCACTAAATGAATATTCAAATATTTAAAATTTCACTGAATATATTCATTAAATATTTATTTAATATATATATATATAGTGCACAACACTTAAAGACTAAAATCATATAACTTTGTCCCATTTAAAAAAAATTTTAATAAAAAGATTTTTTTAAAAATTTAATTTTTAAAATTGACCAATTATAAGAAATAAAGTCACATGATTTGTCCTATTTTTGGCTATATTAAAAACCATCTTTAAAATATTATAAATTAAAAACAAATTATAATTTTTTAAAAAACAAAGCTGTTAAATTGTAGTAAATTAAAAAACTACAAGTTAGCGGCTTTTTTTTTATACCTTTTCTATATTAAGAGCTATTAGCTTTTAAAATTATTTTAGTCTTCAAGTATCATGCACTGTATAATTTATATTATATTGTTTAATAAATTATTTGCAATTTTATTGGTTAATTTAAGTAAGATAGTTATATAATTTTTTTAAAATTGAAATATATTTAATATTCAATAAAAATTTAGTGAATATTTAAATATTTATTGAAAATTTTTGAACAAATCTTCGAATACTAAAAAATTAAATGAATAAATATTCAGATACTTATTTTTTGAACGAGTCAGACCTTTAATTGGTGCTATAGTTGGAGCCATCATTGGTGCCATAGTTGGTGCCATTGTTATATCAAAATTAGTGCATCATTGGTGTTATAATTAGTGTGTTACTGGTGTCATAGTTGGAGCTGTGGTTGGTGTCATAATTATGGCATTGATGGTGCTGTAATATTATCATTACACATGGAGTTATTAGAAGGAGTTATTAGAAAGAGTTATTAGAAAGAGTTAGTGTAGATGATTAGTGTAAATTAGAGTAGGGTTAGGGTTCAGGTTAGGGTTTGGGCGTTCGTCACTTTGTTTTTTTTTTATTCATAGTGTAATTTTGTTGTATTTTTTTTAATAAAATTTGCAATTGTTGATTGACCGGTTACGAGCGATTGATCACGTGTTCACGTGGTCAGTTTTGATTGGTCGATCACGGGAATGCAGGGCCGCGCAGGTGCGTGGAATTTTCAAACCCTTCATTCTCATAATCGTATTCACAAAATTGAATTAATAGTTAATATTGTATTAAAAATCAAATCTGACAAATTTATGGACTTTTACCATACATTATATTTATTCGTTTGGTATAAGCGGGAAAATTTAACCTGTATTTCTGGGCAAAAATTCGAATATACTTTTAGTTACAAGTGAACCTATATTAGTCGCATATACGTATTACAAATCGGAATAACGTTTTAAGTATCACAATACTAACACATATTAGTATAAAGCCCGTGGGTACCCATGGGTACCCGCGGGCTTTAAGGGCATCAATTTTGTAAGGGTAAGGGCTTGGAGATTAAGCCCGTTAATAAACGGGTAGGGCTAGGGTATTACTACCCGGCCCTACCCGACCCATGCGGAGGCCTAGAGGAGGACGACTGTATCTGTTTACTGAACATTATTCTAACTTAACCGGATCGGCCGAAAAATCATTCGGCAATTTTTCTAGGAATTATGATAATAGCCGTAACAAGTTACAGAATTTCGGAATTTATTATTATATAGTTATATTATTAATTTTTAAATAGATTAATATATATAAATCTATATTTTTAACTTTATTAGAAAATTTGAATCCAGTTTTTTCATATTAACCCGGTTTTTAATATAGAACGTTAGTTGGTACGACAATATCTTACGTATCGTCATGATTTATATAGGAATATTAAAATTATTAATAATTCGAATATAGTACAATGACAACATGGCCGAGTGGTCTAAGGCGTCAGACTCGAAATCTGATGGGCTTTGCCCGCGCAGGTTCAAATCCTGCTGTTGTCGAAATTTTGTGTGTAAATCCCGTTTTTTTTAATAATAAAAAAAACGGGCTTTTATAATATATTTAAAGTTTAAATTTTAAAAAAGGCAATTTCTATTTGAACACGGCGATATAAAACCAACCAATATCCCCTAACAAAAATTGGCTTGATTGGCATATTACACGAATTTGCAAATCACAGAATATGTATATCAGATATTCTTTTAAAAAATCAAAAGATTAACATTATGCAAATTATCAATGAGTCGTTTTTTGTAAGGAACTAATAACGGTTAGGGTAACGGTAAAAATCGGTGTCTGATACAAAGATAACGATCAATATCTATCGATTAACAATATAAATTTAACCGGATCAATGTCCAATTTCCAAACTTTCTTCCTCGAATATAGAAATGGACATAGAAGAATTTCGCAAAAGAGGTTATGAAGCAGTTGACCGAATTTGCAAATATTATAAAGAACTTGATAATCATAATGGTTTGTTGGTTAAATTCCAAATTGGCATTTTTTTTTTAAAAAAAAAAGCTAAGGTTTAATTGATCATATAAGTTTTGCCAAACGTGAGACCTGGATATCTCAAGGAGCTTCTTCCGAAAGAAGCACCTGAAGGTATGTATAATTGTGCTCGGCTAGTTATCTAAATGTTACCATTTTATCTTTTCATTATCAATTTTAAAGTGATTTTAATTTTATTTTTCAATTATATAAAGAACCTGAATCATTTGACGCGATTCAATCGGATATAGAAACAAAAATAATCCCTGGCGGTAATATACCGTATTTACTATTAATAATTAAATATTATTTTTCTTTTAATTAAATACATCTGCACTATCAGTTACACATTGGCAAAGTCCCAATTTCTTTGCATTTTATCCGGCAAATTCATCTTTTCCAGGAATTCTTGGTGATATGTATAGTGACATGTTCGGTTGTATAGGATTCAATGTAAGTATTTAAACATTTTCGTTTGACATATTTCATACACATATATATATATATTTTTTTTTTTTTTTTTTATTTAGTGGATAACCTCCCCAGCTTGTACAGAATTGGAAACCATTGTACTTGATTGGGTTGGAAAACTTATCGGTTTGGATAAAACTTTTCTTAGCGACGGTTACGGTGGTGGTGTAATTCAAGGGACTGCCAGCGAAGCTACGTTGGTTGCTTTGATTGCAGCTAGACAACGTGTAATCGATAAATATAAAGCTGAAGGTTTAACCGAAGAACAATTACATGTAATATCTAGTCGTCTGATTGCATACGGATCTACTCAGGTTAATTTTAATCATATATATATTCATATACAATTAACTCTCCCTAAACCGAACTCAGATAAACTGAACACTTAATAAGCTCTGTCTAAACCAAACTTTAAATTTTGTAAACCGAACTTTTTGAGTATTAAGAGTTCAGTTTAGTAAGATTTGATTTCATTCATTTCATTTCTAATTTTAATATCATATATTATTATATTACTTATAAAATCAGACTCATTCATGCTTGAAAAAGTCCACAATGATAGCTAATGTACGTTTTCGTGCACTTTCAACAGACGAGAAATTCTCTCTAAGAGGGGATACTATTAAGCGTGAAATTGAAAAGGATATTTCTCAAGGTCTAATTCCATGTTTCCTTAATGGAACAATAGGCACAACAAGTTCTGCTGCAGTGGATCATATTTCAGAGTTAGCTGATGCAAGTACGTATTTATGAAATTTATAAATTATTTTATCATGAAATCCTGAATTAGTTGTTAAATTTGTTTTCAAAAGTTCAAGGCACAGACGTGTGGCTTCATATTGATGCTGCTTACGCTGGTTCCGCACTTGTTTGTCCTGAATATCAACATTATCTTGATGGAGTTGATCGAGCTGATTCATTTAATTTTAACATGCACAAGTGGTTACTGACGAATTTTGATACCTCATGCTTATGGTAATATTTGATATTTTGAGTATACCTTATTGTATATTAGGTTATCTCATTAAATAATTTTCTAAATTCCCTTCGTAAATAGGGTTAAAAGACGAAAACTTCTTATAAGTGCATTGACTATTACACCAGAGTTTTTAAAAAATCCTGCTAGTGAAAGTGGATTAGTTTTAGACTATCGAGACTGGCAATTACCATGTAAGATAAAAACGTTTCAAGTCGTAGGTCAATATTAAACTATGTGAAAGGTTGTCGTTCTTATTTTTTAAAAATTTTATTTCATAAAGTGGGTAGACGTTTTAGGTCATTAAAGATATGGTTCGTTTTGAGAACTTATGGAGCGAAAGGTTTGAGAGAACATATTCGAAAGGTATGTCCACAATATATAATCACATATTTAAAATAATAATAATAATTATTTTTAATTCAATAGTCGATAAGTCTAGCAAAACACTTTCAAAACAGACTTTTATCAGAATATTCCGATCTTTTTGCTATCTCAACGGAACAAGCTTTTTCACTTGTTTGTTTTCATGTCATTCCTAATGTAAAATCTCGTAAAACGTCCAATGAACTCACTGAAGAAGTTTATAATCGTGTAAATGAAACTCAAAAAATTTATTTAACACATACTAAATTAAATGACCAATTCGTTATAAGGTTTGTTGTAGGGAGTCCGTGGACCGCCAAAGAACATGTAGACAGAGCATTTGACCTTATAGTAAAGATTACGAAGGAAGCCATTAGCCATTAGAGCTGAGGATATATTTTAGTTAAAAGATATAGTTGTATTTAAATTCCCTAAATATAATACTTAATCTATTTGTCGGAGGATAATATCTAATTATTAATCCTATATATACGCCTAATGTTTATTAATTGAATACAATCTTTTTGTCAATTTTTATTAATTGAATTACCTCATCATTTTATGTGTCCTTTAATAAATTCTAGTCATCTGCTTTAATCCTAATAATAATAAATAATTTTTACATAGTATTTTAGGGTAAACAGACAGAGTCCCACATTGTATTTAAGTATATTTAATTGTTTACATTTACAAAAATTCATATTACATTAAAGTGAGTCTCTATTACAATAACATTACATAACACCAATACCCTAATTGTTTTGCATGAAATACATAATCTAAATATCTATTTCAAAACATAATTAAAATACGCAAAAAATTAATCAAAGATTATAAAGATGCATTTGACAAGATTATATTTTGCTGATTTTGTCGTGACAACTGCGCTTTTACTTCATCTACTCGATCGATTAATCCTTGAGTAAACTTAACTGCCTCTCTTCGTTTTTGTCTAGCAGTCTCAAAATCTGGTGGACAAACAACTGAATCTAGCGTAAGAATAGATTGCATTAATGTTTCTACAATGCAATGATGAGCTTCTGCAAGTTTTGACTTGACAGTATCATCATTATTTTCAGATGATAAGTAAGTAGCTACTGAAGTTTCGAAAGATTCTATTTGTGGAATTATATTTGTCTTTGTTTTTTCGACTAATTGTGAAATACGCGCTATAAGTGCATGCTCTTCGGATGATCCAGATGTTGTCTGTGCCAAATCTTTGGCCTAAATTATTTAAATAAAAAAAAAAAAAAAACTTAATCAATATAAACCCTATTGAATTATTTAATGAAATAAATATAAAAGGTTTATAACCTTACATTAGGTTTTGATCCCATTAAAATCAATTTTGAAAATGGTTGTAATCCAAATGAAGATAAGGTCGCTGTTTCATCCTTCATTATGGCTAATTTAAAATGATTAATTCACCGCTATGTTAAAATTTTCTCTTTAATTCAGTTAATAAAAAACTTTTAAAACAATTAATCCTAAAAAAAAAAATTAAATTTTTACCTCCTGAAAAAACTAATTTTTGCCCGTTTATTGGCACTCCAGTGATATCCTTTAGTCGTTCTTTCAATTGCTTTAAAGTCGTTTCCTCGAGAGACCCCGTCCCTTGTTCAGCAAATTCAATGCGAAGCTTTTCCAAGCCCCAGTTAACCACTAGCTCTGGTGCCACTATTCAAATTTTTATTTTTTTTTTCAAACAAAGTCAATTATACATTATAGTAATCTTGAAAAAGCCATTCACAATCTAGTATTTACCTTCCATCGATTTCGACGAAACGGGTAAAATTGAAGAAAGGAGGGGTTTGGCGTAACGCCAAAGAACGACAAATGGTAGAGCTATGTCGGCCGAAATATTGAATATTTATTTTATAAGAGACTACTGAATGGAATCAAAATGTAAGATCAAGTATAAAGTAAATTTCTACATGGAGGACTTCGCATTTTTCGGAAAAGCACGGGGCTTTTCATGCGGAAATTGACCAATCAGAAATCACATTTTCGGCACATGATATAAACACATCGAGCAACGCAGACAATTACCTGGACAAAAACCCCTAAAAAATGATAAAAAGTTAAATCATCTTAAAATTATATTATCTATAGCTATAAGAAAGATTATTGATAAAATTTTTGAGTCTCAGCTATTTGAGTTAATATTTTACTCTTTCAGCATCGTTTTTAGCATTTTTCAATGAGCTATAAGTTTGGTTGGGTTTGTTCACTTTAATAAACTTAAGTGAACAAACCCAAAGGGTCTGGCCAAACTTATAGTTCAAAAATTTTAATAATAATCTTTGTTTAAATAAATCAAGCATATTCTTATAGCTACAGTACTTGTAAAAAAAATTTTTTTCTGTTTTTAAGTAAGGTACGTCCTCTTTTTTCTTTATTGAATAAAATATTATTACTATACTTTATAGTAGATTATTCTAACTATTTTAGGAAGTAAGAGGGTAAGGCTAGTTTACCTCTGACCCAAACTTTGCTAAGTAAGGTCAAGGACTTCTCAGTCTATATTGGCTATGTGCTATGGTAGTGTGTTAAGGCTTATAAATTGCCTTATCTATTATTTTTAATTTTGCTATCTTTACAAGGTTAGCTGTTTACTATTTACAATATTTGAAGATGGTAAATTTTGTTTGCTTTTGTGAACTATATTAATTCTGCTATTATTCCAAATTTGTT